AATGTATAAAACATTAAATATCGTTAATAATCTAAATTCACATACTTGAGTCTTTTTTGTAAAAATTATTTCGATTTTTTTTTATTATGAGACTACTGAACCTTGACCCACCACAAAAATCTTGTTTTTCTTCATATTTTTTTACAGTTCTTTTAAGCGAATTTTACCTTGTGCAACTAGATGTGATGTTGGAATCAGTTATAAATGTTTGGTGTTGATGAAAATGAGAAGTGAATCATTTTTTTTTTTTAGCTCTCCATTAGTAGTGAGTTTAGTATGCCACAAGATCCCTGTAGTTCCATGATCTGGTGGGAAGAGTGTTGTGGGTTTGACTTTTGTAAGTGTAATATATTCTTTGGCCCATGTTGGTATCAAAAAGTCAAATTCGAGTGAATATATGAAAGATCATGTATTCGAACTGCAGATAAAGGCATAAAGACATGACTGCGATGATCAATCATGTCTTAATAAACACTTAAATTATACACTTGCTCTTCATTAATACCGTTGCAACTCCCCTAACGACCACTTCATACTAGCAGTTACCTCTCCACCATGGCAGCTTTTTGTCCAGACTGCATACAAATCTATACTTTTTACTGTTAACAGCTTTTTACCATTAACAACAGCTACCTCTGTACATGTTATTGAGCCTCATAGCGGCCTTTGTAACAAGGGTCAATTGTATGTTGTTTGCAAGTGGCCCTATGTACTAAACAGTGGTTTTATTTCCTTTAAAGTTAAACAATGCACTCGCTCAGTATATCAACCATTAAATTCACCTTACAATAATTAATACATTGTTAAGCATGTAGGTAGTAAGAAAATAGAAAATGATCAAACTGAGGACATTGTCTTGATATATCAGACTAAATCCTCAGAGCTCAGGTTCATGTGTAACATTGGTACTGAAAAGCCCATTTTAGGCAGCAACAATAATGTACATGTGTGTATGTATGTATGTATGTACTCCAAACAATCAGTCTGGGAGTGGAGGGTCCGGGGCTGATTGTGATTATTACTTGCCCGGGGAACTGCCATGTGAAAAGGTTGGGGATGCTTGCTTAGGGGTGAAAATCACAGACTTTGGTCTCACTTAGAGTATTTAGGATGAAAGGCCACTATTTTTACCCAGTGAGGTACATGGATCTTTTTTTTTTTCTCCATAGAATAATAATGTTGTGTGTGAGTCAAATGATGCTTAAGCTACATCAAGATTGATCTACTTTAGGGGTTTAATTCAAATTCGACAACAAGCATCCCCAACTGTTTTTCANTGCTTAAGCTACATCAAGATTGATCTACTTTAGGGGTTTAATTCAAATTCGACAACAAGCATCCCCAACTTTTTTTCACATGGGAGTCTCCTGCCAGAGTTCTTGTGACGGACAATAATCTCAATGTACAACGTATGATCATTATTTGATCCGTTGATTATGTTGCAGTTGGTATCACTATAATATAAATCGTCATGTGGCAGAGGGATTGTTAATGGCAAACGGAAAGGATGGAAGTTACTTGCTGAGAGGAAGTTTGTCTGGTCCTGGAGAATATTCTCTCGCAGTGAGGTATTTAAAGAAAAGTTAGACCTCTGATATTCGTAATTTAAACGCAATTTTTACAAGGCTGTGGTCTAAGAAAAAATGTGAGAAGCACAAAGGTTCCGTACAATGAAATCCTGGGTGCCCAGTGCTTAAGCTCATATGAAAAACGTGTGTTTTTCCAGTTGCCCAAAGTCAAAAGTTAGTTACCTGTGGTACCTGGGCATTTCTAGAGCACAGCCTTGTTACATGTATATCAAAATATATCAGGACTCCGTATAATGTTATTATCATTATCATGATCATGATCATGATCATTATCATTATCATCATCATTATCATTATCATTACTATTATTAGGAAACACTCTAAGAATACTCACGCTAAGAGCTGTGTTTACAATACTACATATAGAAACGCAATACTAGCATGAGGTAT